GGTGTCATCATTAAACCATATGTCACATATATTTAAAGAAAAAAAAAATGAAGAATTCGTCTGCAGGCTATATACGTTCATCATCATCATCATGATCATCAAATAAGTGTGTCTATATATTTCGTCACACTTTCGCTTGAATACCAAAAAGAAAAGAACAATCTGTAGATTACCCCTGATAGATGATTAAGCGTCGGCCGTTTTGTATCAAAGTATGCGCTTATTTCTTTTGATCGTTCTAACTTCTAACATTGTCGTTTCCTTTCATCTTGTCAACATGAATCAGATTCAATTAGATTACACTATGATGCTGCCGACCGACGCCGACATAGAAAAGAGAAACAGAGACATATACATATCTCTTATTTGTTAGTACGTGTATAGTTGTTTGAAGAATGACATTATTACTCATGCCAAATGCATATTATTAGTATGTATTATACAATAATAACCTTAAATTTTAATTATAAGATAATAGAAGACATATTTTTTGTGTACAACTATCAGTGAATGAAGGGTCTATCCAAAATAAACATGATGTTTTAACAGTAGTACATAATGGGCAGTGCAAAAAAGTTCTGAATTTTTTTTTCTTTTATAGTATGAGAACAACTTATTGTAGAGACTAAATAGTTGTGATTTTGTAACTGGGATATTTTGATATCATTCGAAAGTTTGAATTACGCTGTTTACACTCATACATAATGTTCGTTAAAATTTTGAAAATCGAGTGCAAAACAAATTGGTAAAATGGACTTTTCTCATTGTTTCATTTGTTCTAGGTTATTGATAAGTATTATACAGACATATTTCAATTTGTTTACATAACCAAAAAGAAATTTTAATATGTTTTTTTAGTTCATTAGAAGGTTCAACATTAATTGCTGATAATGATATTGGATTGAATAATAACTCAAAACAATCGGTAAGTTTTAATATATATATATATAGAGAGAGAGGCAGAGAGAATATTATCAATCATTATTTTAAGCATACTATAAAATTAATAAAACAATGTAATCTTGCTCAACAAAATCCAGCAGCATTTTTTGAAGAAATTAAAACACGTTTATTAGCATATCAAACTGGAATTTATGATCAAATAAAATATCAAATGATTGACGATGATTCATTAGCTGTTCTTGATTTACAAATAGCAAAAACAATTGATGATGCTGATAATTATCTATATGAAAATTCAATAACACATCGAAATCATTCAATTGATTTGACAAGATATGATTCAGGTGTTGGAACAGATTCATCAGAAAAGTTAGTTGAATGAAAATTAGAAAAAAATAAAATAAAATAAAATAAAATGAAAATTTTTGTTTTAGAAATTATGAAACATTTTGTACAAGAAGACAATATCCATTAATTGATGTTATATGGTATCCATCACTCGATAGTAATAATGCTCTTTTATCAACAATTCCTTGTATTCATAATGAATTAACATTTAAAGAATTTCGACAATTATTTAAAAAACAAACAGCATATAGGTATAATAAAAAAATACTTTTTTTTTTGTATGTTAAAATTCTTTTATTATTTAGATATTTCTTTAAAACAATATGTACACCTGATATTAATAAAGAGCAGTATATATTTCGAGAATTAACAATTGATGATGAATTAGTACCATTTTATGATGGAAAAATTTTTGTACAATTAGATCGAATCTATTAAACAATTTTGATTAAAATTTATTATTTTCTCTTTATGATATTTGTGTTTTCAAATATAGTTATGCCTTGTTTTTTTTTTTTGTTGATGTTGTTTTGTGTGTTGAAAAAAAAAGCAAAAGAGTTTGGTTACTGTTAGTTGAAATTATTTATTGAACATGACAAAACTTAAAACATTTCGTAATAATTTCAATAAAAATATCAAAACTGTTCTATAAGGAAATATGTAAATAATCAATATTTTGATTCATGTTTTTGCATGTGGATTGATGAATGATGAGCAAGCAAACAATAAGCACAAGGAAAGTTCAATACGCAGAAAAAAAAGTGATGGTAAAGAGCACACTCACATCCAATACATTCATTGATCTTTCAATAGGCGTCATATTTACGTTTATTTTGCCATGCTGCCATGCTTGAATGACTAAGGTGTCCGACAGGTATCCACAAAGTATTGTACTTAAACCTTGGTATCACCAGCTTTGAAATGACTCTAGATAAGTCACTAACTGGTGTTCGTCTCTGGTCATCCTTCTTTCCATTTTGTTGTATGCTTAAGTATTGGTGCAATTCATTCCGTTTCTCGTTATGTTCATTAGGAAAAACATGGTGATATAAATGAAATAGAAAGGAGTATTTGATGCAAAAGATATTTTTGTACATAGAAAGCTATAGATTTTGATGTATATTGAATGGCAAACAAATATGTGCTAGACTGTAGACATTTGAGAAATTGCTTATTTATCTTTTGGAATGAAAGAATAATGTAGAATTAAATGTGAATGTTCGAATTAGTTATTGATTCGATGATTGAAGGCGACAATAGAATTTTGCATAGATTCGGTTCTATTGTAATTTATGGTAGAATTTCTTCACAAAATTTAACATTTGAAAGATTGAGAAGAAATCGTATAACTACTAAATCTTTTGTTTTTCTGTGTTAATAAGTAACTGCAATTACATGATTAATCAGGGAAAGACTTTGTGTCAGTCATTTTTGTTAAAAGGCATAGATTACTAACGAGGAACTTCAGCAATTGAAAAATTGTTTTTGATATGAGTCTTATTGAGATTGGAGATAGTCTACTAAAATTCGTGCCTATAGGTTTTTTTTGACATGGCGGTGCTGTCGCGACGGGGTCAACGGCGTGGGAGATATTTCAAAAATATTGTTACGTCGCGGCAGTACCGCGGTATCCTTGTCCCTTCCAGGAGTGTGGCGCGGCAGCAGCAGATTTCTAACCGCGATGGGCATCTTTGATATGAGTTAGTTATTCATTTGAATTGACTATCTCAGTTTATAATTATAATTTTCTATTATAAAAGTAATAATAAAATTATTTGTCCTTTTATCGACACAATAAGAAAGTTTTAGTTCAACAGAACCACAGAAATTGATTACTTGATTTTTAGAAGCTTAGTTAATTTTGGAAAAAAATAAGAAAGTAAAATGAGTAATATCTTATTCTCTGGATAAAATTTTTTTTACTGTGTCAGTAATTTCTTCTCATATTCCTCTGAGAAGTAATGATATGAGAAAGTAGCAAGCTATAATTTTGTTTTTTGTTTTATAGTCTTATTTCTTTTATTATCGTAGATTTATATGAATAAAGAAAATTGTGAGGCAAAATCACAAATATCTCAGCCATCGATCATAGTCATTGCTGATTCACATGACCTCTCATTATCACCTCGTGTACTGTAACTTTTAGTCTACATGCTCTATATTTTTTCTCTTCTGATTATTTCTTCTTTTTTAGTGCCATACACATGGAAGTTTTTCTCACGCCCACATCCATCCTCATACCTGATTAATGTTCGTGATAGAAGAAGGAGAGAAAACGTCTGAGAGCGACTACACTTGGTAAAATCAAATACTAATGTCAAAATGAAACAACATATGCCGTTTCTGTTCATCTTTTTTTAACTATAATAAGATTGGCAGCTAGGTAATTAGATAGATATAGTTTCAGTTTCTTTTTTTTTATCAAAATTAATTTTCCTTCGTTCTTTTTTTTGAAACACGATCTAACAATATTGTTCAATTATGAAGACAGGAATTCGATCTTGCCACATACCATTATAGAAATAATTAAGAAATTCAAATCAAGTTGAAATTATATATTAAACTCGATTAAGTTTTTGTTTTAATCAAGGACCAAGAATATAATACTTAAACAACATAATCCACACCATAAGATCATCTATAAAATACACGAATATCTCGAAAAGAAAGATAGCTTAGATCTATTTGTATAGGTAGATAGAATTTGATGAGCTGTATTCACTAACATCAACATACATCAGTTTCGAACAGACCTGAGAGTCGATTCCAATGATGGAAGTCAATATTTTTCTACGAAACATCACTCAAACACCCTTGAAAATCAAGTGAATAAATAGAAGAATCTGCCAAAATTCTAAAAAAACTTGCTTTAGTTGAATACAAGAACAATGAGTTTTTAAATCATTTTAGAACTTCTGCAACATCCTTTAAATTTAAATAATATTAAAATATAATGATTTTAATAGAAAACAATAACAGCATTAAAGATAATTAATAATTTGAATAAAATAAATCATTGAAATTTTGGTATTTTATTGACAGCAAAATAAATATACAATCAAACACTCTCAGACTGATAAATCCCTCACATATATTTAACTAATGTGCATGTCTGAAAATATAATTAATATTATGAATGTATTGCTAGTCATACATAAAAACTAATAAGTTTTATTATCAATTCTACTTCAAAGTATATAGATCTGAACAGTCATCGATAATAAAAAGAACTAAATTCATTCATATTGGCAAATCATTCAAAATTTTATTTTTATTATTTCAAACACAAAACAAATGTGTATATATAGATATATGTCTGTTCTCATTAATTTTTACACATAGAAATATCAATATAAAAAAGAAAAAAAACAAAAACAACAACAACAACAAAAGCTAATATGAACTAATCTATTCTTTATAAAAACTGCAGAAAAACATATGTGTTTACATTACATTTGCTTATCGAGTTAAGATAAATATGATATTTGATTTTTTTTTTTCGATCAAAAAATCGACTATATATTTAATATGTTTATAACAACAATAGTTTGTAAAAAAAAATCAAACGCACATATATATATGAACACATTAAGCTATGAAATAAGAATACTTTCTATATACTAACAAAAAAGCAACTAGAATACATATAATCTTTTTTTTTTGTTTTGTTTCGGATCTATCTACGAAGAATAATAGGAAGACAAATAGAAAAGTCATTCGAAAAACCAGCAACCAAAAATAATGCTCACAACATATATATATATTAAAAGCGAAAAAAAGAAATATGTAAATATTAGCAATTGATTATTATGAGTAGGAAATATATGTGAATAAAAATCAAAAAAAAAAAATAAAAAAACAAAAATATTTATTCACGTTTGTCGAGCATTAAGTCTTGGTGAAGGTAAATCACCAAATACTTCTGTACCATCTGTACACATTAATGACTGACTTAATTCACGAAATGATTTACCAATACGTTCAAGATCATTACTATCATCATTATTCTTAAATTAAGAAAAAAAAAACTTTTTTCTTTTAAAAAAGATTAATTAATTAGATAAAAAAATATTTACCGGTTGAGGAATTGTATAAGGACGAAATGCAATATCTTGTGGTAATGATGTAGAATAATTCGATGAATTATCTCTACCAGAAAACCAACCTAGATAAAAAAAAAAAAGAAAAGCTATAATCAACCAGAAAAATTATTAATTTATAATACATACCTGTATTATCAAACATAGGATCATCAATTATTTCATCATCTAGATTACTAATACGTTCGGAAAATGTCTGAAATCAAAAAAAAAAAAAAGTATTAATAAATTAGTTAAGAAATTATAATTTTTACTCGTTCGGTTGTTGATGACTGTCGACTTAAATCTGTTCCATTAGCATCAAATATATCAGAACCAAAACCTGACTCCATACTATTAACAAAAAAAAATATATATAAATAAGTTTAATGTATCACATTAAAAGCCTATATTAACCTATTTTCATTAATATAAGAATTTGATGGTTGTAATATTGGAGATGTTTTAGTACTTGATGCATATCGAGGTATTGCTCGCATGACACTAGAAATTTATCAAATATTTATTTTTTTATAATTAAAAATAATATTCTAACTTTTCTCTATAATAAAAACTATTATATTATTAACATCTATCTATTCTTTAAGAAACTTTTCAATTCTAATTTTGACATAACAAAAAACATCCATAAGACAGGTAGAAAATTATTTAATAACTTTTAATAGAAAGCTGTGATTTTCATCTTTAGAAAGAGGACATGAAGACACATCGAACTGTGTAACACAGATTTATACAAACCTGAGATTTAATCGTTCAAGAGTCTTATTAAAGTTTACCGCCCAATTTTTCAAACAGTTGTCATGAGAAAATGTTAAAAGAAACTATTGTTAGAAAATTGATTCAAAAAAATCTGCAATATATGATTCGATACAATTTCATCTCCTCTTTCCAATAGTGAAAACCGCAGTACTCTATTATTCAAAAAAAAAACAACTGAAAAAAATTTTTTCATATCTTCCGGACGATTATTCAGTTTCAATTAGAAAATTTCATCGAGAATATTAGAATCCAGGTCTAGAAATTTTATACTCGATTGGTTAGTAACGAGTTATGAGAGAAAGTCCACAGAGAATTTTTGATTGTCAAATGAGCTATTTTTTATTCTTGTTTACCTCAAAAAAGTATCTAATTCTTTATATATTGCTTCTGTTTTTGTATCTAAAATTTGTTCTTGTTCATGTTGATACAATCTATAAAAATAAAAAAGAATAACAATATTTTCTTTAAATTTTCTTTTCTTCTATACCGAATTTTTTCTTCTGTTTCTCGATCAGCATCATCAATTGATTGACGATAAAGTTGTCGAACTAATTCACATTCACGTTGAAAAGTTTCATCTAAATTAATTTAGTTTTTTATATATTATTTAAACTAAAAAAAATTAATTTATTACCTTGTGAACCTAAAAAATTTGTCATTGGTAAACCATTTATTCTAGTTGGTAAAACAATTTTAGTTATTTTTGAATAATTTGGATCAAGATAAATATCTTTAACTGTTATATCATTCTAAAAAAATAAAATAAAATATAATTATGAAATTATTTCTTTTTTCTGAACTAATATACAAGAAGATCTTTATTAATTAACATTTTATTTGTATCGTTATTTGTTATATGTGTATATTGATTACAAACTAAACACCGGTTTAATTTCATATCACGTATAGATATTGATTGAAATAAACTTTGCCATGCAATACGTATCCTTAAATCCGATGATATATTACATTCAAACCATTCATGAGGTAGATTAACAAATCTTATTAAATCATTGGCAAGAATATCTAAGGAAAGATAATATATATATATATATATATATATTCATTTCAAAATAAAATACATACGTGTCTGTGTTTCTTGATTATCATTTATTTCTAATACATCAATAGTGACATTAAGACATTGACAATAGAAATGCATGACTAGACAAAAAAAAAATTTAACTCGAATAGTTCTTCTAAAAAGAAATAAAAATAATAAAGGTTAGTTTCTTTTTTTTTTTTTTTTTGTTGTGTTCGATTATGTTCTTTAACAAACATGTATGTGAGTATGTTCATGATTCATTCATGTTTTTTTTTTCTTTATATACAAGATAAAAGTTAAATACAAAAAAAAAAAAAAAAAAAAAAAGAAATCTTAGTTAAAGAAAATAAAAACAAAACGTTTTAGATTAGTTCTCTTTTTTTTTTCTTCTTCTTCTCATATCGGGTAAATGTCGCTATTATTGTATATAGAATATGATCGGCTCTTTTAATACATCCAATCATGTTCATTTATTTTAGTACATTACCAGTGACACTAGTGGCGGTATTCAATCTACTATTGATGTTGAAAATAAATGTTTGAAATAAATATGATATTGAATTACTTATCAACTTATATTTAAAATAATTGTCTAATGTATAGTATAAAACATTTTAGTATATTTAAATATATTACAAATGAATTATTGCTAGACAAAAAAGTCTCGTTTTTTTTTTTATGTCTTTCAATAAATCTAGAATAACGTTTCTATGAAACGAGAGAAATAAATTTTCTTCACTTACCTAGGAAATTTTAATACAATACTTTAGTTTTCCTATTTGTCTCTTCTTTTATGTTAGGCTAAAAGCACTATTATAAAAAAAAATTACCTGTTCTTATCAGAAAGGTTGAAAGATAAGTAGAAGTAAACCTGTTTGCCCTTTGATTAAATTTTGTTATGAGAAACATTAAGATCATAAATTTATCATCTTCTATTACAAAATTTAATTACACTATATTCATCGTGATGATAAGTCCGTTACCTGTTCTTTTTTTTTTCTAAGTTTTCTTTTCACGATTTAATGAAGAAAAAAAAACGACTCTTTATTATCACTACTTATCCTTAGCACAAACTCAAACTAAATCTCTTATCAATAATAATCTATCTTATATATCATACATATTTTTCTCTATTAAAGTTAATCAGTACTTCTTATATGAGTATCTTATTAACAAAAGGTCATATCAGTTAGTTTGTGTGTCCTTGTAAAAATATTAAACAGCTGTTAGCTATTATTTTATAGATATCTGTTGTTTTTATTTTTATTATAGAACTAAAGATGACTTTAAAAATTTACATGACAAATATAACAAGTAATCAATTAATAATTGGTAATCAACGTAAATTAAAACATATTCTTGATACAAATAAAATTGATTATATTGATATTGATATAAGTGATCCAAAAAATATAAATGAAAAAGAATTCTTACAACGTACATTATCAACATTAAATCAAAAAATGATTTTACCACAAATATTTAATAATGATGAATATTGTTGTGATTTTGATGGTTTAATATCGGCTGTTGAATCTAATACACTTAAACAAATTTTAAAACTTGATAAAAATTAATTTATATCATGTCAAATACATTTTATTTATTATACAAGACACTAATTCGTTTTTTTTTTTTGTTGTGAATGCATCTTTATAACACTTTTTTCTTTTTATTAAATATATCAAGAAACTCGAACACACACACACACATATCAAGAACAAAGTAACATAATTATTCTCATTAAACAGAAAAAGCAAGAATTTCAAAAAAATGATTCAATTGACAGACTACAACTTGTTATTGTTTCTTATAATGTATAAATTAACTTAATTAGACATTTGCAGACGAATAGAATTCTTTAGAACATTGAAATCATTTTCTGATAATTAGAAAACTAACTTGTTCACATTTCTTACTATTAAATATAGTTTAGTAAACTATTTACTTGTAGAATATTTTCTTTAATATTTATTTTATCGATACGTATTACTATTGTCAAAATTATTTCAACATTAATAACACAATCAATATATATATATATACATATATTTCTCTATGTAATGATAAAAAAATTTTTCTTATTTCTTTTTCATTGCTTATATGAGATGAATTTGAATAAATATTAAATTATTCATGCGTTGAAATAAAAATATTCTCATATCAAATCGATAAATCATATATGACCGACAAGTCGACATAATTAATCTTAATTCATATTTTGACAATAATCTATAACGAAGATAGATCAATTAATAATAAGACTAGCTTAGATAAATCGTTCTATAATGAAGATAATATAAATAATCATATGTAAAACATGTATCTTCTTTTTTTGACATATAGACAATAGAATAATGAAAATGTGTGATAATGAGGTTCAGTAATTCAGTTGAATAAAAAATAAATGTATTCATTTTATATATGAAAAGAAAAAAAAGACAATTAAATTATGAAGTACTTTGTTATTTCAAATAGTATTTTTATCTCATGAATATAATTAAATAGAATAAAAGCTTGAAAATTTTTTATAAATTATAAAATGGATGAAGATTGAGCACTTTCAAATCAATAAATAGTGCATTGATTATGCTCCGGATATAGAAAAATGGTACCTATGTCAAAATTCTTTGACATTAATAAAATGTTCTTTCTATTCTGAGATTCATTATAGATAAATTTTACATCGACTTTAATATATAACTTATATCATGAACATTGGATGTTCGCAAACTAATGCAAGATGAATTATAACAATCGAAATCAATCATTTGTCATGAAAATAATTAACTATATAATCATCGATTTGCACTTATCCTCGTGAGTTTATATATAGATGATGTATTTTCTTTATAAATAAGATTAATCTTAATGAAATAAATGATCGATATCTTCTTACTGATAGACATATGATTAACAACGTTTTTTTTTCTTCTCCCAACACAAGCACGATTTTCGGATTAAACTTAAAGAGTAATAATAACCAAATTAAATCATTGATGTTTTTGTTCATTCTAATATTAATATGAATTTTTAATGAAAATTATCTTTTTCTTTTGTTTCTTATTCTTCATTTACACTTAATCAAAAAAAGTATTATTCAACTCATATTTAATTATTAACTAACAACAGTAATGAAAATAGATAGAGACGAAAAAAAAAAAAAAGAGAAAATAAATAAATGCATTATCAATTCTAATACACAATCACATTAACAGTTTCTTATATTTGTTTTTGTTTTGAATCTATATGACAAATCAAAATAGAAGAAACAACATCAAATAACAAAAAAAAAGAAAAAAAAAGTGAGACATACAATCTGTATACACACGCACACATACACACATATACACACAGTTTTCTTGATGACAAAACTAGACTAATATAAAATAAATAGATATATTGTATTTAAATGTTTAATTTTTAATGTTTTTTAATCCAAGGCAGTTGTTATTACCTGAGAGAATAAAAAAATCAATTTGAAAAATATCTATTTATTAAAGTTTAACTGTTTCATTAAAATCCTCATGAGTCGACAAATGTCGTGCAGTACTAAGTCGTGCTGCTGTTCGAGCTTGTATAGGTTTATTTGTATTTTCTCCTTCTTCAAGTTCAGTTGGACCTAATTCACTACGAACAAGATGATCAACAATACCAGCTCCAATACCATCACCTAATATATTAACTGATGTTCGAATTCGATCTCTAAAATAAGAAAACAAAACAAATTACGATCAAAATTAATTTTCTTTTAACATACAAAGCCCAATCAATAGCAAATATAATTGTTATTTCTTTTGCAGGAATATTCACAGCTGACATAACTAAAAGCATTGTAACAAGACCTGCCGATGGAATTGATGCAGCTCCAATAGAAGCTACTGTTGCTGTTAAACTATTTATAAATAATTTTATAATGTTAGTTATTGTTGTTGTTTTTTTTTTCTTTGTCATATATTACTTACCTAACAATAATTAATTGACCAATACCTAATTGTCTTCCCATAAGTTGGGCAAGAAAAACTGGAGCAACAGCTTCATATAAAGCCGTACCATCTAAATCATAAGATGTTTCTATTATCAATTTTCATTTAAAAATTCTCTCACCCATATTAACAGTTGCTCCAATAGGTAATACAAATCGTGTTACACGTCGATCTAATTTTAATGTTTCTTCCAAACATCGAAATGTTACAGGTAATGATGCGGCACTAATTTTTTTTTTTTTGTTTGTTTTAAATTAATATTATTCATTAAAATTAATATTTATCTTACCTTGAACCTGTTCCAATACCTATTAACCAAGCTTGAAGCATTCCTTTATAAAATGCAAATGGATTTCGACGTGTTATAACGTAAAATATAAATGGTAATGTAATCAATGAATGTATAGCTAAACCAGTTAAGACTGTTAATGCATACATTCCTAAACTTTGAGCTAATTTAAGTAAATCTTCAATTTCAAGAATTTTTCCAGCAACTAAAAACATGATACCAAATGGAGAATACCTATATAAATAATTATTTTGTTTTTCTTTTTATTAAAAACAGAAAAATGATAAATTTATATATTTACATACCACATGGTAAGTTTAATTAATTTCATGACAATTTCATTTAATATAAGAAAAAAATGTAACATTGGTTCTCCTCGTTGTCCCATTGTTCCAATTGCTATACCAAATGCACAGCAAAATGTAATCAAACCTATATTATGTTTTTTTTTCATTTAAAATTTTGTTAAAAGAAAATTAGCGACAAGAAAAAAAATATTTCTAACCCAAAAAGTTGGTACCAGCAACGTAGCGTGTACTAAATTTAACTTTAGGTGGTGTTGTACCATTCGTATCAACAGTACCATATTCTAAACAGGAAAAACAAAAGTGATATTTTTACATATTAAAAAAGGAAGCAACATTAAATTAGAATTCATACCTCTTGTTGTTTTAACTTGTTCAAGTGCAGCTTGAATGATATTTTCCGCAAACATATTTCTATAAAGAAAAAAGAGAAAAAAAAAACAATTTTTTTTGATTAATTTTGAAAAAAAATTATTTACCGAAATAAATCAAATATTGCATCAAGTGTTGTGATTTGATCAGCTTTTGGATCATCTCCTAATAATTCTAAACGTACTTGAGCTTTATTACCTCGTTCGCCTGGTCGAATCAATTGTACAAGTATAATACCAAGTACAGCAGCAAGTATAGTTGTACAAAAGTAATATGTTAATGCATAAACACCCAATTTTCCACTTGATTTTGGATCGAGTACAGCCAAACCTATGAAATAAAATAATATGAATTTATTTAAAATAAATTATTTCAATTAACAAACCAGTTATAAGACTGGATGTAATAAGAGGTAAAATAAGCATTTTGAGCATACGCATAAGAATGTCACCGGGAAACGATAGTATCATAACCGTTTCAGAGGATGGTTTTGATAAACGACATAGAAATCCGAGCAATAAGCCAAAAAAAACACCGGTAATAGTCATTGTGAGAAGTAAATTATTACGAAGAGGTGCAAAAAAACTTGAACAACACTAATTAAAAATAAACATAACAAAAAAAAAGAAGAGGAATTTAATTGCAAATATATTTGAAAAAAAAAATTTATATATATATATATATATTACTTTTCGTAATCCTGTTCGATTATCATCAATTCTCGTTTGTGTCGGATGATTTTCATCATTGAGCATTGCTATTGTTTGATTATGTTTTTCATCCATTTTTAAACTATGAACAGATTTCATGTTAATATTTTCTCTTTAGATATTTAATTTTTCTTTTGGAAAATAAAAGAAAGGATTAATTTATTTTATTTTTTCCTCGTAGAATTAAACGTACTGAAGAAGTCAATAATATACTTTAATCTTATATGATAATAATAATTCAACTTCTTATTGCATTCATGTTCATTCTTAGATGCCTTTCACATTTAATAATTGTAAAAAAAAATACAATAAAGAATATAGTAAGAAAAAAGAAGAAGAAGAAGAAGAAGAAGAAGTAGTGAAGGCAAACAAAAGAAGCAGAAAAATAGAGAATAGAAAAAGAGAGAACCGTGTTTACATCACTAAAGAGTGCTAATAGTGGAAGTGGGATTTCTTCTCTTCTTTCATACTACGTCTTCTTTTAGTATGCACTCTGACAGATAATATTGCTTTTCGTTGTTATTTTCATCATCAGTTTTTCTGACATCTCATCCTATACGAATGGAAGTGAAATGCATGTCGAAACAATAAGAAATATAATCTAGTGGAACATAATGATAAAATAAATAAATAAATAAATAATAGAATGCATCATTCATTTTCGAAGTTTTGAAGCAATACGCATACTTGATTGCTTTTCATACATACATTGAAAATATATTTCAAACTCTATGACACTACTTCTCATTTTTCTTTTGTCTATCTATATATATATAAACAATAAAAGAATGAGTAACTCTGAATTCATAAACAGGAAATTCTACTTACTCAAATCGTCTGCTTTTGTTTCTCAATCGATATATACATAACTACATTTAAAATATTTGATAGATTTCAGGTACTCGTTCGCTTTTT